ATAGAGTTTTTTTTTTTTTTTTTTTTTTTTTTTAAAAGGAAAATTGTTATTTAAATTTCAATGTAATATTAAATTCTTTCATATCTCCTTTAACTCGTTCAAAAATATATACCACGGTAAAAATTAAAAATATTTATTAATTTGATAATTACATAATCTGAAAATTGTTTATACTTATTTTTTAATTAAAAGAAGTTCAGACTTCCTGCAGAAGTTTTAAACTAATATAACTATTCTTTCAAATTCTCGTCCAAAATGTATCGTACTAACATACAAAATTTTAGATGCAATACGAGAATGAAGAGCCACTGTACATCGACCAATTCGTGAACAATAATTACGAGACCGGAAGAACATACATTTTGCCGATGAAATCGCCTATGGGAATATCAAAAAATAAGGGTTCTAAACTGACCAAAAGCGTTTCAGCCAAACAGTTATCTTATTCTACTAAAAATTCAGATTCTCCACCAAGACAATATTTATATCCGAAAAAGTTAATGTCCAAACAAAACCCAAACCAAAAAACAACAGCTCACGTCGAAGAAATAAATTTCTTTGCTGACAACGTTAAAGGCAATGTCAGAAATGATATACAGAAGAGCATAAACATTCTTAGCGATATAGAAAGTAGCTATAAGAGAATTAACTATCCGACTTATGAGATAGAAGTATCGGATATCGTTCAAAATGAAGAATCTAATACAGAGGAGATTGTGCAACCATGGAACAACACCTATAGAAGAGTTAAAGCACCTCAGGAAGTAGCGGACTCTAGGACAGTATCGGTATATTCATCGCCATTACTCGAATCCACAGACGATGAATCTTTTAAAGACGCAAGAACCAATTTAAAACAACTAAAAAAAGTATTGGCGAATAGAAGGGAACACTTCTTCTATGGCAGTGATTCGTCACATGCGTCTACAGATTTAAGTACGTACATATTTTTTACTTTTATTTGAGAAAAATATTTTAACAGCATTTAGAGTCTAATTATGACAGTAAAATGGAAAATATTTTTATTGAATAGCTATGTTTAATTCTTGTGTTTTTTGATCATAAGTAATATAAGATAAGTAACATAAATCCTTTAAAAAAAACTAATATAATATTTACTATTTATATCTAATTATATTCAATTTATAATGTTAATTTTTATTAATTTTATAAAACATTATTTTGTATCGTTTCTAATACTTCTGTTATATCAGGTCCAATGAATAAAAATAAAATACTCACTGAAGCAAAAAGCAAGGATTATGAGCCACATAAACCAGCTAGTCACAAAACTAGCTTAGAACCAAAGTACAGTAAATCTCCCAATCAATATGATCCAAGTTACTTAAAATCAACGATTCCACGATATCGTAAGGTGTGATTTTCTCGAAAACGTATTAAATATCTTTGTTAGATTATCTTTTAACAAATAAAATTTAATCTCATTATCTTTACCTTATATTGTAGATTCCTTATTTACATACGCCTGAAAGTATAAAGAACGCAATAATGCAACCACAAATATTAAATTCCGATCCTCAAAGTTTTTTCGAAACTTCTTTGTGGAGAAAGGAAAAGTTAATTTGCTTGTCCAAAATGAGAAAAATGTGTGTCGATGAAGCTGTAAGAATTTATGTTACTTTATTTTAAAAAAACTTGGACATATAATTATAGTTATAAATTTTACAATTACAGTCGCACTATCTTCCGCAACAAACTGATAATAGCGACACTGTCTTCACTGAAACTGCGACCGAAAATAACACGACAGAATCGGTTTCTATGAATAATAATAATACCTACGTCATAAAGGAAAAATCAGAAGGTAATATATTAGTATAATACAAACTAAATACTATTTTAATCTTCTTATCCAGAAAAATAAAACTGTAACTATTTAATTAATATTCTACAAAAATTATTGTGACATTGTAATATTTTAAAAATTTCTTATCCTTAGTGTAATAATTAATTTTTATAATGGAATAATTAGCTACTGAAATAGAAACCAGTCAGGAAGATTCTACACAAGTGACCGAAAATACGAACGATTCAGTGACGCCCGTAAGTCCACATAGCGAACCTCTACAAGTTTTAAAAGATGCTTTGGACCGGGCTACAGAAATTGTACGCTCCATTACTCCAAATACTAACGAATCGTGTCCATCTCCTTCATTCAAATCCTACCAGGACTTTGAAGTAACGGTAGACAATAATCAAGCAAACAAATTTATTTTCGAAGATTTGTATGATTTACAAATTAACGACAATGAAGAAATTAAAAGCATCGAACGATCAACAGCTAAAAACAAAACATTTTTGTTCGACAATTCTAATGTAAATAGCACGATAACCAGCAATGAAACACAAAATGAATCTAATAACAATATCGTTATCAGCATAGCCAGTGTTGAAAAATGCAGCCATTCCTTCGACCCAACGTGTAATAGAAATTTTGTATGCGAATCAATTGCTGAGGTATCGAGTGAATTTAACAATTTATCCAACGATACAATGTCAGATAGAAAAGAAATTGAACCTTTGAACGATAAAATAATCAGTATTGAAGAAAATGCCAAAGTTTTAGAAACTGTACAAAACCATGGAACATTAATTGATCAGAGTAATCTTGAAATTCAAACTAAAATTCACGGAAAGAATGAACAGAAATCTGCCACTAAAAATTTTGATTTAATGTTTATGAACGATGCTACAAAGAATAAAAATTGTAAAACATGTTATCAAAGTGCTTTACCACGACGACGTTCTTTACCGGCAGCATTAAGCCAATTGAGATCAGTTAATAACTCAGCTTTAGGGAAATTACCTATACGCAGAGGGGTAAGCGTTTCGTTAAATGTTGATTATATGTATGTACTATATCTATATCTAAATATATACACAATTAATTTGTAAACCATTTTGTTTATATTGCTGTAGGATATCCCTGACAACACTGTTGAAGATTTATATATAGACGACGAATTCGGTGATAATTTAAATATCAATATGGTTTTGCTAGATGAAGATTTATCAGTTGACGAGGATTTCTTATCCAAAATATCAGATCTATAGAATACTATAGAATAATAATTACTAATTATATTATTTTAATATTGCTAATAATTTATTACATTCTATTTTTATAAAATATAAGCAATATTACATAATTATAGAGTTCCAATTCGATTGGAATATACAGTATCAATAAATAAATACTTACAGGTACTCTATATTTGATTTCAAAAAATATTCATATATTTTGCGCTTTAACATGAGTCAGCTAGAATATGACTGTATAATTTTTATATTTTGTAAAATATATGATTACCTACTGTAAAGTACGAATAAAAACACAGTGATATTTTTTGTGTAAAGCATAAATGTAAATAATAAATAACATCAATTATATTAAAATTACAAACTTATAAAATAAATGTCCTTCATATTTCTTTCTAATTATAATACACATATACAAGAACAAAATATTTTAGTTAATAAATGCAATAATTAGTGTCTTAAATGCAATATATTTGCAATATAAAAAATACATAATATTGCCAAAAGGAAAAAGACTATTGTGTAAAATATATTTTATGTTTTTTGTGCCATAATTACTATAATTTTTGGAATTTATTAAATGAAATTTTATTATTTGTTAATCTATTTTAATATATTCATCAGAAGCTTTGGAAAGACTAAAATCCATTAAATTGCTAAGCCAAATACTGAAACAATACAATACATTGTCTTGTTTTCCCAACGTACTGTACAACTACCATCAGTAGCATTATCCCAATAACATGAGCTAGCAGTATGCAATCCTGCTCCATTCTTCTGCATAATAGTGCAAGTCACTAAAAGAATTTTTTAGTTTAATGTTAAATATATTATTTGTCTAAAAATAATAAGTGATTCTTATTTATTAAAAAAAAATATACCTATATATTTGTATGGTTTTTGAAGTTTTGTCAGATTTCCCAAGCAGCCTTCGACAACATTTGATGTCCATTGATTTACTTTGTTATGTTGATAAGCATTGCCACCAATAGATACTTCAATAGCTTCCTTAATAATTTTACTTACATCGTCAACTACAAATTGGGTCTGAAACAATCAAATATTCATTAAATTATATAAAAATATTTATCTCTTCTCAAACTCAATATGAATTATAAAATATATTGTCAATGTCAACCTATCAGTAATTTCCATTATTAAAATAAAAATCACTTATAATATATAAATATAGAAAAAAAATACTGAAATATAGTCTACGATTTCGTCGCATATTTTGGCAGTTCAAAATGAAAACAAATATATTATTCCATACGTATGAAAGTATTACTAACCTCTTCTTGCATATCTTCCATCATTTTGGAAAATTTTTAATAAACTGCACTCCAAGTATATTATAATGGCCCAAAAATGATTAATTCCTTTAATTAAAATACAATTAGTAAACTACTGTAACTAATACTAAATATTATACCCGGTTCAATGAGAAGAAGCAGAAAATATAAACAGCTGCACGCGTGATCAGTACAGGACCGAAACGTAATATCCAGATCCCTACACAGTAGGGATGCGTATGCGTACCTGCCTAACTATGTATGCGTCATCCAGGAGCCCTTCTTAGGGGCCGCTAAAAAGCGTCCCTGAACTGTGACGTTCAGCAGGTACTTATCTGCAGTCATTCACGTGAACTTTCTGTTTATATTTCCTGTAAATTCTCATTCAATCGAGCATTGATTTTTAATTGTACACTATCATGATTGAAAAATTTCGTGCTTTATAAATGCATATCTTATTAATCATATTTTTTTATAGCTTTGCATATAAAAACACCGGCATAGATAAATTATGTGACGTATTATAACAACAATAAAATCTCTAGTGACAACTTTACCGTAGAATGTATATAATCAAATAATAAAACATTAGTAGTGAAACTACTGACTTCTACACAAATTGCTAATACTATTAGTGCTAATATAATATCATAATTGCTATTAGAATAATTGTCGATAATAAAAGTTAATAATTTGTCATCACGGTGTGACAATATATCATTCTTACATATACCTACAGTATGGTATCATTGCATCATATATGTCCTATGTGCATCCTGGCGTGGTTCGGCTTTATTGAATAATTAAAAATTTCGGCAAAAGTATTATGATAAAATAATAAATAAATTAATCATATATATTTTCTTGTTACTAATATTTATTTACCGTTTTAGATACCATTTACCCGAAGTTATATTCAGTTCTATAATAAAAATGTTACATCAGCGTTATACTCGTATATTTAAACAAATTTTTAGACATAAAACTGTCGATAATTCATTAAAAGTTAACGTGACACAGCCATTCTATGATAATTACGAAGCTATTATGCACTTCATACAATATTTACGTAAACGACAAGCTGTTGTTGAAATAAAACCAGACAAATATGAACACGTTTATGGTGCACCAAGAGGAATGTTTTTTAAAGTAGAAGCACCTAATTTATATGACTTTTGTACACTTCGATTAAGAGATTGGTGGAATCATAAAAAAGATTCTTTTGCAGAATCGGCTGAAAACTTTCAGTATAAAAAATATGAGATATTAGGACCAGATCTAGCAGCAGCAAAATTTATTATTTTTGTTGGTGGCAAAATAAGGTTTAAGGATCATGATGAATGGATAGATAAAACAAAAACAAATGAAATTTCTAAGTTACCAAATGAATTTGATGAAACGTATATTTTAGAGGAAATAGATTTAAATAAATTTTCTTTGCGATATAAACAGCTTCATTTCATTTTTAATCTTTATTATTTAAAATCACTTAATTTGAAAGGTTGTAAAACAGTTGATGATTGGTTTTTAGATAAATTATCTGCAGAATATCCAACATTAGAATACCTTGATATTTCAGAATGTGAAAATGTAACAGAAAGGGGGCTGGAAGCATTATATAGAATGCCTAACTTAAAGAAATTAATTGTAACAAATTTTTATGGCTCTGCAGCATTTGATTTAACTTGTTTTATGTTAGAAGATGTTAATCCCTATTTAGTATGTCAAATTCAACAGCTAAAATACAAACATTTATCTGAAACTTAATTTATGTTAAAAAATTGTAAATGTATTTATATACTACATAAAACAATCATGTAACATAATTTACATATTAAATGTTTTGTATAAAATTAAAATTGTTTTATCAATTTATTTTTTTCTCTACGCCGTTTCACATAATATAATTCTGCTTTGTTAGTGATTCCATAAGCTTTTATATTTTCATTATCATTAATTAATTTAATATCATCAAAACATAGATGGTATTTTTTCCAAACATGTTTCCAACTTATTTTCTTTTTAACTTTTTCTCTTTTCAAAGATAAATTTGTATGACGTTTTATAGCTTTCTTAAGATCCAAGACTGTAGTATTATGGGGAGGTACCTAAATTTATAAAGAAACAATTTAAAATCATTTAAAAAACTTGTGGTTATTGTTCTTTATAATTTTAGTTTTATTTATACTATAGTTTTCATAATTTTTATAGTAATTGTCAAACATAGTAAATGTTTGATAGACTATATAAGAATAATATAAAAACTTGCTTAAAAAATGTATTACCACAATTCCAAGTTTTGGTAACTCTCCACGATTCAAATATAAAGTTATTGCTTGCCCTTGTGCAACTGCAATTTGAGCTTTAATTTCTTCAAATGTAACATCTGCCGGTAAACCAGAAAGTAATGGATCACTTTCAATTATATTATGAATTGCTTCTTTGGTTAACTTTACTAATTCATCGTGATCAAGTTCTATGCATTTATCGATTATTTCTTTTTTTTTAATTGAATCATTATTTTCTTGTTCAATTTTATTTTTTGATTTTGTATCTTTAAAGGTATACTGAATTTCATCCATAACTTCTTCGTATAGTAAAAGGAAATACAACAAATACCAATCAGTATCAAAATTTCGTACTTTTTGTATAATATACTAAGTTAATGTGTACATATAGTCAAAATGTATATATATACATAAAATACGTACATAAAAAATATTGGAAAATAGTAGATTTTCACTAGGAGTCGTTGTGTTTGTAGATTGTATTTATTAGTACATTGAGGGCACGGTTGTCACCGATCAATCTCGGTTGCATTTGAATGTATATAGTTTATCCTGAAATTTTGTGGATGTAGTGTGCTATACGTACGTATGTAGCATTACTGTCAATATTTATCGAAATGTGGTGATTGCACGCTGTAATTGTCGATCGGACACACGAAAACAAATTTTGTGCAAAATTTGTATCTATATTTAAAAGCGTATTAATATTAAAACATTTATCAAAATGACGATTATCACTCAAGCTGTTACTGGAAAGGAGGATAAAAAGGAAAAACCATTAGTTGTTGAGAAGAATACAGTAGTTAGTATCATTTTGATATTTATTAAATTTAGTATTGGTGATATTTTAATGGTTTCAAAAATAAAAAATTGATGAAGGAGTTGTAGAATTATTAAATTTAATTCCTCATTCTTAATAAATGTTTAATTTTTTATTATTTATGTAATTGAAGTTATCTTTGATGAATTCTGTTTACTTTTAACAAGTTTATTCATGTCTAGATATATTTTATTTCTTGCATTTATAAGATACATGATATATTTTATGATGTTCTTTGATAAAATATTATTCATATTCCCTATTATTGTAAAATTGTTATATTATAGTAAAATTGTACATTATTTTAATGTAAATGAAATTAATTTTTAAATAATTATTATAAAAGAAAATTTGATATATATATTTAATTATTATGAACTTTAACTAATATCTCTATTTTATCATATATTTTATAGAAAGCTTGTTTTATGAATAACTATATTTACCTAAACAGGAAAATGGTAAAAAGGATGTAGAGGCACAATGCTTGAAACCTGATGTAGGAAGTCATTACTTTGTTTCTCGTAGAAGCGTATATCGTATTAATGTAACTGAAAAGTCTTTATTGTTTCTTATTGCTCTGATGATCTTCATAACTGTAATTATTGGAGCACGCATATATGGACAATATAGTAGTCTCAAGATGCATTGGCATAAAACTGGATGGTATAGCATTCCCTATGATAAATTAAATCAAGGAATACATACTTTAGATGGATTTCATCCAGATTTAATAGCAGATAATGATTTGGCCATAAAAAGTTTGACAAAATCTATACAACAAGAAGATTATGACAGAGCATTGAGGAATATGAGGGATAAAATATATAATTTCAGTAGAAGTTTCTTCAGGGAACAATTTGAAATAGATTTGGAAAATGGGCACTATGAAAAAGTTTATGTACTAGGTTTTCGTACTGGTCATCATGATCGATTTATACATGATTTTACCATTGTAAGTTAGTATATTGATATATGATTCTATAATAGATGTACATGTATTATAAAAACTATCCAGTATATATAGTATTTTATATAATTTATATTTTGTTATAGAACAAAACTGTTATTATTGATATTGGTCGGCGGTCTTGTTTGGTAATGCCACTTAATTACGAAACAGTTTTACCACCATGTACTCTATATGAACATCTCAAGAAAATTAACAATGGTTCCATTTATTTATTTTTGTGAAGCATATGAATTTGAATTCTAAAAGTAATTAATAGTAATTAATATTTTATGTGTATAATATTTATAGGTGATGCTGAGATAGATAGAGAAATTGTGCGTGAAACATTAAAGATAATCACACCACCAATTATTGATATGTCAATTATTGGACCATACATAGCTCATGAATGTCAAGGTCTATCAGTATTCATGGTGAAAAGAGTAAATACAAATGGTCAGTTATTAGTTATACTATCTAATAATTTAATATAATAGACTACATTGACTTGTGATTTTATGTTGCAGTTGTTAAACGCAGCATATCAAATGCTGTGTTTGGGCAATTTGCAGGCAAAAATATCATAGAATTTGATATTTTGAATTTAGATGATGTTGAGGCATATAACAAGAACAATTCACAAAATTGAACAACAGGAATTTATAATCATTTTAGAATATTTATTACTGTAGATCAATGTATAAAAATTATATCCAGCTCAACAAATTTAGGTAATTTTTTTATAAATTTCTGAAAATTATATTTGTATAAATTGCTCTTTCTTTAAACTAATCAACTATTTCTTATTGTTAAATATTCATTCACTTTCAGGATGTTCATTAAGTCTTTCTATCATTTCTTATTTTAGCTCTAAATCAGTAATGCTATAACAAAACATAAGGTACATTAGTTATTATTATATGCTTTTAATATTTCATGAAAATTTAATTTAATAACAGACTGATTGTAACTAAATGATATAATTTCATTTTTATGTAAATCTGTAACAAGTATACAATCAAATTAATTTCAACTGAAATATCAATGGAGCTTATTTATAAGGTAGAATTGCATTTTTTTTTGCATTTACTTATCTTTTATGCAAAATTTCTTATTAAATAATAATATTACACATTAAAACAGCAATTAGGTTGCTTTATAAATCATATATTCATTCTATAAATTACAGATTAAAATGTTTTTATCAAAAAAAGATACAATACTTTTATTAAATATTTATGAATAATTATGGTTTAAACAATAATTAAAATACGTAATATTTGTTTGTCTATTAGATCATACTAAATGTTATAGCAACGCTAAACTGTTGTGAGAAACGTAACAATAAAATATATATTGAGAATTATAAAACATGGATAATATAGTTACTGTGACTAGATCAATAATATGAACATTAAAAATTAAAGCATGTATTGAATTATATTCTATATTAATCTTTCTTCTTATTATGAAACATTCCTATTATGAATCTTGATTTTACTTAAGCTCAATATGAAAGACGTATATAAGTTACAAAGCAGTATTATTTTATTAAGTTTAATTATGTATATTTTTGTGTAATATGAATGCATGGTTAGTTTTATAGCAAATTGTACAGCAGTCATTTTATTTGCATTTGTTGATAGTCTTTTAAGCTTTACTATCTTTAAACAAATTAACTTCAAGTATATTTATGCTTTCTCTAATCATTATTATTATACAATTATAAATCATATTCAAAATTAATTAATTGTAATCCAATATGTATCCATTCTTTGTTAATCAATTCCATTTAACTGTGTTTAAGATAGTATAATATCTGTTTTGAAAATAAAATTTATACACTATTGTATTATCTATCATACTATTATGATCTTCAATATTATATAAGTGTACTATTTATGTATCGTAAATCATATATTGTCAATTGTATGTTATACTATATGAATAATGATAATTATGTTCTGTAGATTCAAAGAATAAATGAAAGTATTATCAATTATTAGTTCTCCATTTTTTGTTCTTATATTTATTTCAAAATCAAAGACATGTTAGTGATATTAGTAGTTTTCATTATTATACATTAGGAATTGAAACTAATTAATTTAAATATTTATACAAATGTTTAATTGAATATTATATGTTGTTAATGCACAAATAAATTACTAGTTAAAAAATAATTAATGGATTAAACAAATTTGCATTGCAATTTTTTATTACTAACACCAATAAGAAAAGTTTTATAATTATGTAAGTTAATTCATTAATATATTTAAAAATGAATTTTTTAAATAAAATAAGAATATGTTTTATTTCCTAATGTCAAAGAAGATAGTGATAAATCAATTTTTTAGTATAAATACGTTATTGTGATTTAATGTAAAGGTGATATTACAATCCAATTGTCTGTATACCATAAAAAATGATAAAACATGAACTTTTATTTAAAAACGTATTTGTATGTGAGCGAATTTTTATACATTGCAATTATAATTAATTTCCTGACAAAAGGATGTGCAAAAAAATATTTAATTAATAGATAATAAGTATTTAGATAAATAGTATAAGCTATAAAAGTTTCCATGTTAAAGGATAACAGGATGCAGATCTTATAGTTAGCGATGTATTTTATATAAAATGATCGAAAATATAATTTACTTTCTTACTTCTATATGACAATATGTAAGAAATGAAAATGTACAAGTTAAATAAATTTCACAAAAATATTGTACGAATGTCCTAATCAGCTATTGCAAAATAAGTATATGAGGAAAATATTGTTTTACTTATATTTATTTTTATCTATACTAGTCTACTATTATTTATCAATTATTTTTGTTGTAATTAAAATTATTCGTTAAATTCATTCAATAAGAAAACAAACAAAATCAATTATTATTATTTATATAAATCAGAGTCGAAAAATATTTTACAAATATTTTACAAATTATAGCTGATAAATTTTATTCAACCCTTACAGTTACTCACTTTAATAGTTTATTCTTTTTCACTATTAATCGTAATTTTCAAAAATTTTAACAAATAAATTTGAAACTAAGAAAAGAAAAATAAAAGAGAAACAGTGCAGACTGACTGAGCATGCCTAGTAGCTGTTCTACGGGAACATGGAGTTGGAGTAACGCCGTTGGTAGGGATCTCGTTAAAATAAAACTTCGATTTTTCTGCTGCTTTGTGCGTACACTATCGCACAGAAATTATTCTCAGTTGTGGCGCAATAGCGACGTGTCGTCGGAACACGGCGTCTGCAATCCAGTCAGTCGCTTTGCCGGCTGTTAGTGTTGTTGGTGCTTCGTTGAGAGTGGCATTTCTCGCTCTGAGAGGCACGGGATATTGATTTGCACGCTGTCTTGTACAGTTTTCAATTTAGGATCAACTGTGGTGCTTCTCGTATCTCTTGAAACGAGCAAGGTACTGATCCTCGTGCACAACGTACAATTTTATTTTAATAGAGAGATCTTAAAAAAGTTCTTGTGTAAAATCATCTGATATTTTGTGCGAAAAATATTAGGGAATTGGATTGAAATCAAATTAGAGGATTGTGATATTTTTATAAATTATGATAGCTCGCTCATCGCATCGGTAAAACCTGAGGTATATTGATCGCTGAAAATGCAACTGTAATAAAAAAGAAACGAATCGTGGTAACTAGTGTAACTCCGAAATGCATCAAATTTTGTCGCAACATCTGTAAAGAAGAATTGATCGTGGTACCTAATTTTTTAAAATATTAATTTCTATGCTTTTATTAAATGTAATTTTGTACAACAAAAATGGTTGCGCGATTCTAAAACATCAAAGATTCATTGGGGTGTTTTACGCGATTTTGAATGTAATATTGATCGTGACATGCTACCCATAGGTATAAATAATCGTTGTTGTGGCACTCGCGTATCCCTATAACGGAAGGTAGTATAGCCGTAGCACGTGTAACTCTTAGATAAAGAGTTGCACAAAACAATCTCGTGTCGCTCCGAATAAAGAGCCTGATCATAGTAATTCCCCGTAAGTTCACGACAAAGAGACTTGCTGCAGTACATAGCGCGATTCTCAAACGTAGAATATTATTCCCGGTGTGTTCTTATTGGCTCTAAAACAGAAATGACCGACCGTGCTATTTCGTACAGTTTAAACAAGAAGTTAATCTGTAAACTAAAAAAATCTTTTGCTTAAACTCGATATACAGATAATTGACATTTAGTATATCGGCAATTCTTAAAATGCTAAGTATTGATCGCTGCACCTTGTGCGACTTAGAAATAAAGCCACTGATTGTTACTTACATCTGTAATTACCTTACGTAATTTTGAAACATCAGAGAATGATCGCCCTACATAAGGATTGACCTAGAAATTGAGGAAAATTAAATTAACTTTGTGTAAACGCAGTTATATTTTCGTGACAACATTTTTGTTCGACTGTACGAAGAACTGTCAATATTTCATCTTTCACATTTGACATATAAGGAATTGATCATCATACTACCTTTCGCAGTTCCGAAGTACGAGTACCAGAACTCAGCGAAAAGACTGGGTGACACTGGATCATGGATGTAACACTTCTACTATTAGCTCTGAGTGTCATTGCTGTGATGTTTGGTGTTGTGGCGACGAGGTTCGGTTTCCCTGGGTTCAACAAGATTGCCCAGGTCGCGCTTGCTTTGGCGTTGCTACCTGTCATCTGCAGATTTCATCGAAAGTTATATATGATTTGTAAGGTGCTACCTCGTGATATGAAGTAAGTCCCAATCACATCATTATCGATATTATATAAAGATTCATAGGGTCAAATTAGGGATTTTTATAATCTTTCATTGATGTGTTCATGCAGATTATATGTATATCACACACTACTTGTGAAATGCAATCAATCGCATTTTAATTATCTCAGGGGAAGTTAAAGTCGCTTATATTATTTGTAACTACATCGAATACGTGGTAACGCTTTTAGGAGAATGAATTTATTTATATACATATATTGATCTAGTTTTAAAGTGCATAAGGCCTTTGTAAATCTATCAACGGGTTTTATTCTTTAAAAATCACATAATAAATGTATTCGATTGGACTAATTTAATTATTCATAATATATGAATATTTATTTTATTATTTAATATTAATATTATTTGGCTGTATCTCAATTATTTATTATTATTTATTAACTACATTTTAATTAATTCATCGCAATTGATATCCCTGTATCACATTAATATCCAAACAGTATTTTCTTCGCAACGTTCTTTTCTTCTTTTTAAGAAAACATTTCGATTTCTTGTCCAATAAAAGTTACCTTTACTCAAAGAATCTTATAAAACAAACTTTTAATTCATCTTTTACACATTTATATATAATCAAATTATACGAATCTGTTGATGAGGATATATATATCATACATTTCTATAAAAAGAAGCTTAATAACAAAGCACTCATTGCGGAACATGAAACATACGCCCTTCGTTCACCTAACCTGATTAATTCAACTTTCACGATACCTTATCTCTTATCTTGTTTAAGATAAAATCAATTAACTGTATATTCGTATGCACGCGAATACTACCTTTTTAATTGTTTTTCGTACGTTTCACATTCGTCTGCGACAAGAAAATACTGTCATAAACCAGATACAGTTTTTGAACCATGCTCGGTCACTGACCCGCGCAAAGCTACGCTTGTTGGTCAAAAGGACCGTTAGGCAAAAGAAATGCTTACTTTGGTAAATATACTTGTATCTGCTTGTATCTATACTCTGCGAGAGTAATGCGTGCGTCCCGTGATAATAAATCTGAGTGATATTGCAGGCAGCAGAATCGAGAAGGGAATTCAAAATTGTTCGTCTCTTGCATGAAATTGGTTATGTTACGATCGATAGTTAAACGAACCTCGATTACAGAATGCAAAGGTTAACGTGGTAGATTGAACAGAAATATTTGAGGGAATATTTGAAGATTAAATGTAAGATGAAAGAATATAGAATTATTATCGAAGAAGAATAAATCGACCAATGATTGTGTCTCGACTGGTTGTATTTCACTGCAAATGTTCCTCGCGTTATGTACGACAAGTTCTTTGTACCCGTTGAGTCGAGGCCTAATGCTGTTAGTCAGTTGAATGCATTTATAAAGAGCTGATGCGAAAATCGAATTCGTTTTGTGTATCGATATTCTTACAGAAAAGGTGTGAATATTTTAATATAATATTATACAATTATAATTCTAATAGTTGTCTTTATATTTATTTTCTAATTAAAACATGGGTTGTTCTCTCTTTATAAAGGGGATTTATATCTAAAAAAGGAAATGTATCTTTTTCACGATGGTCATTAATACTTTGCACTTTTTGATGCCATTTTGGAGACATTGATAAATTATGGTATTTATTATTTGATTTTGTTTTCGCCAATAAAAATGAAAAATAGAAAAAAGTTACTGTACCAGTAAAATTACAGATATTTATCATTTTTTTTCTTTCAATACAGAATCATCGGTTTTAAGGAGCTTCCCTATAGTAAAGTATGTTGGAATTGTTACACTAAAAATTTTCTAATTTTAAAGGGTTAAATAAGGCAAAATAAGGTAACATAGGTAAAATTGTAAAAAAGGAAGGTAGTAGAAGATTTATAAATTGGAGTCACTGGGATTAGAAGAAGTCATTGATTAAAAGAAATTCATCGCAAAAAAAGTTGCGATATAATTTTTCAGTCGATGGAATCTCGATATTCAAAACATACAAAATTTGACATAAAAAAGGGACTTGATTCTTAGAATCTAAAAAATGCAGATATTATGTTATTAATATCCAAAGTATGTTATTTCTTGTATGCATTCTATTTTATTTTTTTTTTTTTTAATTGGGTACAGACTTATAACAACTCCAAAGTTCAATTTAATATCATTAAACGTGCGATATAGCATTTAAACTTACTTATCATTGACAAACAAACGTGAATAAGCTACAAGTTCTGCTTGTTTTCTGACGACTATTCAAACATTATACCATGATCTATATTGTTTCAGCAACGTTGGTACGTGATCATCAACGTTGTCGTGTACATATCCATCTATATGTACATGACAACGACATAGATGGCCGTGATACGACATATTTCTGGTTTATTTTACTAAACAAAATATTGATTAACTTTTATTAGCGAAAGTCGTAAATAAATCGAAGACAAAAGTAATTTTGCAATTTGTAATTCTAAATATAACTAGAATTCCAGTAAAAATTAACACATGAAGCGTAAAAGGATAAGGGAAAATAGATCATCTTTATTATTTTTATTAATTGTCGATTCGATTAAAATCTTAAATTGCAATTAAATTCTTCTATTAAATTCAATGTCAAAATCTTAAAACCGTGGACATGGGCTTAAATACAAATTACTTACATCAAATCAATTAAACGCTTAGCACAAATTTAACACAATAAGAGCCAATTACTAATTAATATTGTATTTTATCAACGCAAGTAGGTTAATATCTCGGTGGAAATTAAATTTTTTATTTAACGTTTTAACTTTCGTTTGCCTTCATCGATTTATCGAATCTCTGCCACCCACTCACATACATGCTATGTCTAACTTACATATGGTACATTCTAACATAGGTCTACGCAGTATTTCTTGTTTTTCACCTTAATATCACACTTATCTGTACATTTTGGTCATTACCAATATCAGTAACACTCACCTTGAAATTTGTGCACGTTATTTCTTCTGGTCTTTTATAATATCTAAAAAATAATCCATTATTGTACACACTGGATACCATCTAATTATTCCTTCTGCATATTCATGATTTAAATAATTAGTAAACTTTTAAACTTTAAAAACTTTACAAAATTTTTAAAACACAAAATAGATATAATTCGACCACCAACGGCGACCTCTTTCTACGTTTATCACTTTTTCCTTGGACTGTTATAATTTCTGCATTTGCACGATTCAACGACCGTACTCATATTTTAAAGCCGCCTGGTTTGTTTTCAAAAAGCGAAAAACATGAAATTAAACGAATTCACGACACTTGCCGATAAAGCGGAAATAAACGTTTCTTGCAAACATTTTTATGATCTAAAGTTATTATGGTTTAGAACACCTTATTATACTTCAAAACTTTTGGGTTTTTATATTTTGCAAATTTTTCTTCTATTTTATTTTTCTATTTTTCGTTTTCTCTTTTCATCGTAGTACCCGCGAGAAAGTAGTTTTATCATTAGTTCAGCAGTATCGTTATTTACGAGACAGATTACAACGTGTTTGGGTTCAAGTTTCACTTATCAGCGAAAAGAAGGAACACATTTTGTTTTGGAGGGAAAGGTGAAACGTTTATGAATCGAGTTACGAAAAGTTTGCAATATCGAATTTATCATTTGTAAAGAAAGATAAATGTTAGTTTCTACTTGTAATCAATATCTTTCTTTAAAAGCAAATTAAGCCAATAGTTACATAGGAAATTAAAGTCATTGTTTATACATTTTGTAATTTTTTATCAGATAATAGTGATTTCATGTGTTTGAATATATAATTTGAAACAGTTTGACACGACGAATAAACATTAAATTGCAAGGTCGAGTTCATTACTAATTTGGAAATAAAATGAACAACTGAATGAACAGAAGATGCGATAAATAATTTAACTTAACTTTTTACAAAATTATAATGATTTCAGATTTCTGTATCGTGCTGTTACGGCAGAGATCGAGGTAAAAGGGCAACGTCGAAATAATTTGACCGTTGTAAAGATATTTAAGAAAAGAGTAGATCGTTATCCTGACAAGCCTTGTTTCTTCTTCGAGGATCAAGTTTGGACTTATTCCGATGTATGTATAAAAATCGCAAACAATTCAAATTCGTTAGAAAAGACTCCTTTGGAAGAATCAAATTTTGTTCTGTATCTCTACGAGAATTGCTTTTAATTTTAAAGAAAAAATTCGAGAGTCCTTTGCAGGCCCAATTGAAAATGTTTGTTGTTTATTTAATTTTCTCCGCTGGTGAATATGGAAAAAGAGAAATAATTAAATATAACTTTTACGTACTCGTGAGTTGCAAAAACAGATTCAAGATATTTCAGATTTTTATCTCCAAAAATTTCTTGTTCTTTGGACTTGGTCAGCAGTAAAAAATAATAAATACAAAATTCAATCTTGCAGATTAACAAATATAGCAACCAGATAGCATATGTCTTTCAAAAAATGGGATATGCGAAGGGAGATGCTGTGGCTTTAATGATGCCGAATAGGCCAGAGTACGTCGCGATATGGATTGGTCTGGGAAAACTTGGAGTCATCACAGCATTGATTAACACAAATTTACGTCTTCAGTCCTTGATTCATTGTTTTCGTATCGCTAAAGTGAAGAGCATAATTTATGCAGAAGAATATTCGTCTGGTAAATATGATACCGATCCAGTAATTACTGATATGCAGCTAAGATAAAGGAGAACAGCAAGAGAAAGAGGGAAATTTTAAAATACGATTATACAATCTATAGATACGAACATTATTAAGTAAAAATTCGCGTCAATGCGAAAATAAAGATAACAAGAGGAAAATAATTAAATTATTGTAAATAATCGGGGAACAAATGTTTGATTTTCTAATATTTTTTCAATCACAGTATATCTTTTGCATAATTGAACACATTTATATTGACTAATTATAAAAGAGCTTTGTAAAAATTCAAAGTCCTATAATTTAAGTATCGGTATCATTGAAATGAATATAAATTATACAATAAGGAGATAAAAGATTGCAAGTAACGCGTAGTAGACTAAATATCAACGCAAAAGTCAATATTAGTGATATCAGTTACAAAGTTTCAATATATTTTTCATTTTCTGTTAATTCTCTCTTAGCAAATATTACAATAATGCCCTTGGATATTACAGAATTTGCACAGTTTGCATAACAGTTCATAATCTTATGATTAAGTACATTTTTTAAACGTTTCCTTTTTAATATAAACTATCTGCATATCATCTGCATAATACACGCCAGCATTTTACATAAGAAAAAATTCTCATTACACAGAGATAAGTAATACAAGACACGAGGTACTTATAACAATTTAATTTCTTCCGTAGCCATCAATGATATTAAGGACTCGATCGAGGGAGTCGAGAGATACCAAGTATGTCACAAATCGAAAACATGCGAAGATGGTGTGCACGATTTAAACAAACTTATATCGGAAGCTGGTTCAAGCGAGCCAACAGTGTCAGATGAACCTAATTATCGAGACAAACTGTTGTATATTTACACAAGTGGAACTACAGGTTTGCCAAAAGTGGCAATAGTTCTCAATTCTAGGTAAAACAAATATTTTTGTCTTTCTTTATTTATTCATTCATTTATTTATTTATGTATTCAATCATTTATTTATTTACTTATTTATTATAATGTTATAAGCTGTAATAATTTTTGAAAACTATGCTTTTCGTATTTTACCCTTGTTGTCTACTGAAAATATTTTGAGTTTGTTTAAAATTGTAGGCATTTATTTAAGGTGTTTTAAAACTTTCTGTATTACGTATTTTTTCCTTCGTTTTGCATTAAACTTCAACTACAGTGAGGTCAAGGTTGATAGTATTGTTAGACTATACTGTTAGACTATATCCAAGAATTAACTATAATCTTTAACACAAAACTTGATTTATTATGTAAAAATATCGATTACGGAATCTAGGTCAGTCTTGTACAACAGATTGAAACGACGGTCTAGAAAGTCGGAGCTAAATCA